CGCGTTGGCGGCTAGACGACCGCCTATGGATCGGAAGGTCATGGGTTCACATCCTGACAGAGCCAAACTTAAAAAAAAAAAAAACCTTGACTCCCAGGTCGACCCAGCCTTGAGTGGGTAACAGATGCAGTCTTGGGAAGTAGAGGCGGCCGGCGTGGTGCTGACCACATCACCCAGCAAGTGCCCATTGGTCTATAAAAATATAGGTCTAGCCCTATATTTAAAATATGCCATAAGGTGTGGGAAAAGAGTCCTTATATAAAGGAACCTTTTTATGCTAGAGGTGCATTAGGCTGGACTCTCTTTTTATAGACTAATCAGCACTCTATGGACGATATGGTCCATAGCATACTGACTACCTTTGCTTCCCTGGATATTTCCTGATACCCATTTTAGGGTGGGTTGATCTGGGAACCAAGACAAGTTATTAAAAAAATCTGATTTCATATGGACCTGAAACCAAATTCGTCGATAATTATAACATTCTCATTCAATTCCATAAAACTATCATCATTGGTCAATCATAGATAACTATCAAACATCATTATGGACTTATTTCACATTTATGTAGTGACTGCCATAAATTATCACGGAGAACACTGTATGTAACCAGTATAACTTGACATAAACATGCATACACAGGAATATATTTAAAGCAACAGCAGAATGCAAAGAAGGTGGGCTGGCAGACACATATAAATAGATACTGCAAACAATCAAGAAAAAAAGGCAATGCTTTATGTCAACAGTAGGAATTATTTAAAAAATATCCTGTTCAACACTTCTAGACTTCAACTGGGATATACAGATTTTAGTAAACGAGGTTTGTCCTAGATCCTTTCGGGCCCGTATTGGGCTCATAAGTCACCTCTCAACTCACAGAACTCAACTAAAGTTTCATGACAGATGAAATAAACAGTGGTCCTCATCACTTGCGATGGATGAATAATTAATAAGAAGGCAAGTAAATTGTTTGTGTTTTAGGTCAGCGGTTCCCAACCCAACCTTTTTTGTGACCCCATTTTATACAGGCACAGTGAGTGAGTTTGTGAAATTCAACCCCCACCAGGACCGCAAAATGAGTGACTAACACCGAGTGATTCAAAGTGCCACAATTCAGATGAGAATTCCCCAAGCACAACTCCCAAAAATCCCATTCAACTGTTAAGTTACAATTTGGCTCCCAATAACAGCTGGAGTGTGGCTTTAAAATACTTAGGGGGGGTGGGGGGGGGGAACAGAACCACATCCCACATTGGGTTGGGGTATAGAAGAGGCAAAATGACAAGCGACCTCATTTTTATAGACGTAGTGACCTGTGATCCCTATATATACTAAAAAGGTTTTTTTAATAGAGTAAATAAAATAATCAAAAAGAGATTTTTCATTATACTAGAATTCAAAATAATGTTAACTCATGATATATTTAACAAGATTACTGAAACTGTAACTCAATAACAAACATTCACATTTAATGTTGAATTTTCATTAATGCCAACCTTATCTAATTCTCAACACTGAATCTATTTCTGGTTTTGGTTTTTAATTGAAGAAGCATTGAAAATCGGGAAATAACGCAAAGTGCTGGAAGTCAGATTCATGGAAGGGGAATCATTCAATGCAGAATTGGCTGCTACTGAAGCAAAATCCACACCACCTGCAAGAAACAAGTCTAGACATTCAGCACTCGTGTATCACTAAGAATCAACCAATCACAAAGGATATGTGTATCCACTGCTAATTTTAGAAACATTATATGTGAGGCCCCAATGTCTTCACTGTGTCCACATACCGCACAAAAATATATGTGCTGGACGTGGTGTGTGTGTGTGCATGTGCGGGCGTGCATGCACGGTTGTGTGTTTTTCTATTTTTAAAATATTCATAGCTTACCACTACTCAACAACCCAACATAAAACTATTGTGGATCCCATTTTAAGGTCACAACCAATGGGTTGGGAATCACTGCCTCAGGTAGACTGGACAAATGATACTAGCCCAATATTTTTATAACCAGTCAGACCTGATGGACGATGTAGTCAACATTATGATGGTCACATTGAATTCCTAGATATTTTTCTTGTCCCCATTTCATACTTGGCCGACCTGGGAGTCATCAATGTTTAAAATAAACAAAACCAGTCTGTAGTTTCCTGACAAATTGTTGGGAAACTGGGAGGAGGCAAAACAGACTGGAGTGGTTAACCACTTCTAGTATAGTGGTTAACCACTTCTAGTATAGTGGTTAACCACTTCTAGTATAGTGGTTAACCACTTTTAGTATAGTGGTTAACCATTTCTAGTATATATGTGAGCCCATATCTTTATGGCATTACCAGACACAAAACTACATTACATGAGGTGAATACTGTAAAAGTATAGGACCCTTTTCCCCGCCTTTTGGCGTATTGGGCATTTAGGGCTAGACCTATATTTTATAATCCAATCGGCTGGTAGGTGATGAGCAAAATCACATTGGCTATCTTTACTTTCCAGGATTTTACCTGGTACCCATTTAAGGATGGATTGACCTGAGAGGTAATTTACAAAAACCAAACAAAAAAGCCTGGTCTATCCGGACCAGAACACATTAAAGTAAACATTGTAAGAGAAGGATATTTTGAAAATCCTGAGTTTATAAGATCAGACATTCCATGCTAATAATCACATTACCCTTATGTTGGTGAACTCCAGGATTCTTGCTTACTAAAGTGTTAACAAAATATCTGAGCAAAAGGTATATTACAGAATATTTTAAAGATGGAATTTTTGCAGTATACAATAAACTGTATTATGTTTGGAATGGTTGCAAATACAGTGTGCACTGTATGTTAAACAAACATATTTGTGCTTAAATCTGAAAGAAGTTATGAGCCCCTGTGATTTACCGGGGGGGGGGGGGGGGGGGGGGGGGATATAGGAGGCTAAAGAACACCTAAGATTTCTCTGGAAATTACACCCAAAAAAATGTGAATGAAAGGGAGAGGGACACCTATCTCATAATGCAGTGGTCTAGTATGTGCAGATTCTTACTACTTAGCATCTTCAAGTTGCCTGTCACAGATGTTTACATTGTTAATAACTATTAATGGTTGCTCATGCATTTTTTTAAACACACCAGCAGTTCAGTAGTGCAAAGAAAGGTCTTTACCATCAAGAAGAACTGCAGAAAGACAAGAAAGTTTAAAAGGTGTTTAAAGGTGAGTAGACTGACTTCACTGTGTTTGGTTTAATCCTATATGATTCCATGTCTCTCTCTGTAGAGCAGCTAGTCACATGTGAAAGGACTGCACAAAGCATGAACTCTGTAGCTACAGCAATGACCTCCAGGGATTTCTGAAACAGTTGTACTGGTGAACCAAAGGTTCCAAAGTAAACATAAATCTTCAGAGCGTGAGACAGATGACTCATCACTTTGCTGCAGGGTTAAGAAAGTTGGTAAATCCACTGGGATACAGAGATGTTGAAGACATATGATGGTGTACCAGGATTGGGGTACCTATGGTCAATGTAGGACTGACAGTATGCACACAAATAAGCCAGATCTGTGAAGCAGATGTGAACGCAACACTCAAGTCCTGAAACAAGACAAAAGTCAGGAAACGGATAAACAACCAGAACTTTTTACCGAAGTTTACAACAAGTGAATGTGAAGAAGAAGAAAAAACAAAGACCAATCATATGACATCACAGCCCTCTTGTCACAACAGTAAAACGGCTGACTATCTGCATCAGAACCTTAGTGAACAGCTGATGCACTGATATATGACCTCCCTCCCTCCCCAAATAAAATGCACATGCATGGTATAAATCCAGTAATTTAATTACATTTCTGTGCCATTTTCACAAAAGAGGGGTGACACAATTGATATGTGTATCCACTGCTAATTTTAAGAATATTATATGGTGAGGCCCCAATGTCTTCATTGGTGTAACCCATGGAACTGTGTAAAAGCCATGATAACAGTCATACAAGTTACTCTAGCCATACAGTGTGATAGGTGTTTTAGATAACAAAGAGCACTAACAAGCGTCTGAATGAAGATACAAACTACAGGATACAAGACCGCAGAAACAGATACAAATACATTTTAATAACATTTAACAACCTTCAGAGGCAATCAAGGTGGACACGCAATAAAACTGCCACCAGTGCCACTGGATGTGGAATTCTGTGCTGGCTGCTGAAGATGGGAATAGAGCACTTATAGGAATGTTTGGAGTTCTGTCATGTCAGTGCAAAAATATAACTAATCTCGTTAACAAGTTGAAAACAATGCATGACAGAAAACAGACTGCTGACAAATCTGGTAGTCAGTAACTAGAAACTTAATATATGTTCCCTTAGTGGGATAAATAATTAGGTGACACAAATAATTATAAAAAAAAAAGTTTAATTTCATGCATCCTTTGTAACCTACGGAAATGTAATGTATAAGGCACTTTGAAAAAATGTAAAATTGTTAAAGTAAATGAAAAATATAAGTTAGGAAGTCTTGATAAATTCAGCACAATCTTCAGATAGAAAGTAATGTACAGGTACAAAATATAACTTTGTGTGTGTTAAGTCAGGTTAGAAATAACTATTTTGAAACAGACAACTGAAAAATGTGCTTTTCTAGTAACCATTTCCAATATTTTTATCAATATATTAAAAAAATATATATATATATATATATATATATAGTAGAAGTAGTACAGCTATTTCAGACTTTTTCAGAAACAGCCTGTTATTACTTCAACACTTTATTTACCAGGAAGTTATAGCTTATTCTAGCATAAAGCAGCCAATGCTCGATTCAAAACATGTAACAATAACTGCACTAAGAGCAAAAGGTGAAAAACTAACAATTCAGATATAATGAGTTAATGTAACAACTGTCTGTGACAGAAATCGGAAATGTTCAGTATTTGCACTATATAGCAAACCCATGATGAGTTGCATTGTACCGAAAGAGTTGAATGCAGTCGCATCTGTTCCGCTTGGCCAGTCATGGACTTTACGTGTAAAACATGGAATTGGCCACTTTCTTTCCCTTGACTGCTTTTAGTGTCCCAGTAGAGTCCTTCCAGTAACCTGTGAATTGAATAATCATTTAATTTCATAGAACATAAAAAAATCAAAGGTTCGCACATCTGGTCTAAATGGAACAAAATCAACCAGCAGCTAGAGTTTAATACATGAGAACAGTATGCTACAAGTCAAGAGCCCGACCAGGAAAGAAATAAGTGGGGGGGGGGGGGGGGGTAAAAGAGACATAACGAAAACAATATGACATTAACTCAAGCTACACAACTAGCAAAAGACAGGAAACTTCACCTAACTTCTCTCTGTTATGCTTAACGGACAAAAAAGTAGTAAGACAAAATAAGAGGTAGAAGAAGAAAACTGATTTACTTGACAAAGCTTACAAAATAAGAGGTAGAAGAAGAAGACTAATTTACTTGACAAAGCTTACAAAATAAGAGTTAGAAGAAGAAGGAATGATTTACTTGAAAAAGCTTACAAAATAAGAGGTAGAAGAAAAAGAGAATGATTTACTTGACAAAGCTTACAAAATAAGAGGTAGAAGAAGAAGGAATGATTTACTTGAAAAAGCTTACAAAATAAGAGGTAGAAGAAAAAGACTGATTTACTTGACAAAGCTTACAAAATAAGAGGTAGAAGAAGAAGGAATGATTTACTTGAAAAAGCTTACAAAATAAGAGGTAGAAGAAAAAGGAATTATTTACTTGAAAAGGCTTACAAAATAAGAGGTAGAAGAAAAAGACTGATTTACTTGACCCAGCTTTCAAAATAAGAGGTAGAAGAAGAAGACTAATTTACTTGACAAAGCTTACAAAAAAATAAGAGGTAGAAGAAGAAGACTGTTTTACCTGACAAAGATTTCAAATAAAACTGTTTTTTCTTTAGATGTGGGTGTGTATCAATAACTTACCAAACAGGTTTACCAAATCTTGTATTCTTCTTCGTCTCCTGTGTTTGACCTTAAAAAGGGTGGTTGACAAAATGTATTGTGGATACATCTGGTGCAATATAGCCAATCCTTTAGCCTTTAACTTGATTAAGCAACACAAATAAAGTGTGGGTTACCTTCAATTTTAAAATGAACATCTGGTTCTTACCTTTATCTTTCAGTGTCACTTCAATGTTCTTGTCCTCAGCCTCATATCTGAAAATTGCAAAAGAAGATGCAAAAGTAGCAAACTTATAAGCTATAAAAATGTAAAGTAAGGCCTATAGGGCATATAGGACTAGACCTATATTCTACAGACCAATCGGCACTTGGTGGGTGATGTGGTCAACATCTTCCCAGCTGCCTTTATTTCTCAGGAGTGCAACTGGTACCCACTCAAGGCCGGGTTGACCTGAAAGCCAAGGTATTTTTTTTAAGAAAGCTCCAGGTGAGCGTCTAGTTCTAACACCACGGGGCCTCCCCTTTTTAGGTATCATAAATATTCATCCCCTATTAGAGTTCATTTCTTCAAATATTAAAGTTACAATATCTAAGATGTGTTAGAAACAAATAAGAAATACATATAAAACTATATTGTGACTTACTATGCTGTTGCTTTGCTTCTGCTACTTTGTGCATGAGTGTTTACGCCTATGAGTAAGTTATATCGTGAGTGTACATCTGTGCTATTGTATAAATGCTATTATGAGTATGTGTGTATGTACAGACGGATGAATGAAAGTTTGTGGGTGGTTGCATTATCTCACAACATGTTTAATCCTTACTGTGTATATGTTCACTTTCAATACTATATGCATCAGAGAGCAAATAAGTGGACCTGCATCCCCAAATTTGTGTCCCTTTAAAAATACAAATTGTTCACTTTGTAATTCTTCTTCTCCTCCTCCATACTAGCTCTGCCTGTCTTTTCTTCTTTTTCTTCTTTGTGTTTACTGGCTGTAAACTCCAGCAGAAAATTCTGGTTGTTTTGGTCTTATTCTAGAGCCTTCTAGCTTATCTATACAACTACCTCGCCTCTAAGGTAGATATACTCCAACTTCAATGGAAACTCCCCTATTTAGTCGACTTTTATGTCATGCTTAAGAGGAGGGTGGTGGGTCCTTTCTATCCACCCCCCCCCCCCCTCCAAATGGGGCCCCAGAACCCACAATGGGAGCTTTGACTTCCAATGAAACTTCGAGCCAATATATTGTATGCTTATTAGGCATGAACCAGACACAGACAAAATGTATTCTTACCTAATCCTGTCTTCATCCATGCTGTCTATAATCTTGTTGCGCTGTTCAACTAATGCTATCTTACGATTGATGAGATAGTCTTCTTCCTCTTTCTCTTCTGGAGACTTGCATTCATCTAAAAATTAAAATAATGACTTTATTCCTCTGGTAAAAGCTTACGTGCGTGTACAACATCAGAAAGAGACACATGAGGAGGGTTGTTTAAAAAAAATGGGAGGGGGAAGAGGAAGAGACAGTGAAGAAAAAAAACAATTTAAAAAAAAAAAGAAAGCTGAGCACATAAGCCCATATAAAGTCTTGTGCCTTGCACCCATTTAAAAAAAATAATCTGCCAAATTGCAAACTTTAATTCTCACATCATCATAGATTAAAGTTTAATAGTCATAAAACTGCCATTCTTCTTTTGTCAATATCTGCTTATGCTGCTAAGCGTCGCAGTTCATCAAACTGATTGGCAGCCGAGCGAGGTCTCGCTTAGTCGCTTGATATTCCTTGATGTTATGCAGTCTCAAGGTGACTCCTTCAATCCATCTTCTTCTCGGTCTTTCCCTGCCTCTTGATGTTTAGATTTTCAGGTTGTATGCTCTTGCTGCTGGCATCGTTGGTTTCATTCTCACTACTGCATGTGTTTACCACCTGTGGTGCCAGCACAGGGTCTTTCAGTGATGTTGCAATGGCCTATGCAGGTTAGAATTTGAGTTTTGCCCCTGACAGAAAACAATCCCCAACCTTAACAAGGATGTAAACCTAGGTCTTTGCAGGAAAGCCCACAATTCTTGATTGTTCGGCCAGTTTTTCTCTCAACAGTAATTGTATATATTTAATATTTACAATGGCCGGCGTGATGCTGACCATATCACCCACCAAATGCCGATGGTCTATAAAAAATATAGGTCTAGCACTATGTTTCCAATACGCCTAAAAGGCGTGGAAAAGGGACCTTAAATATATACAATACATTTACAGTAGTTAAAAGTATACGAGACGGATGGTTATGGATAAATATGACTACCAACGCCACACAACATGGACTTTGAGAAGAAGAACTCTCTATATTTAAATACTAAAACCATACAATTAAAATATACAAAGTATACCAACGACATATAATGAAAATACAGTATACCTGGTTTTGTCATCAGGTACAACAACTGAGACTCAATCTGCTCTTGCTCATCCTCCAGTTCTTGTTCCTTTGAGCTGAATATAAATTAAATTGATTTTTTAAATATTACACACTGCATGTTACCATACATACAAACAATGGCTGATGGAAAACGAAAATTAAGACAGGAGTCAGAATGGCAAATGCTGGATTACATAACATGCAAAATATTTATAGAAATAAAATAATTATAGACTAAAATGAGAATCATAAAGTGCTATGTACTGTAGAATAAACAATGTGGAAACTACATTATATTGTGTGAAGACTACATTACACTGTTTGGAGATACACTGTGCAGAGACTACATTATACTGTATGGTGACTACATTATATTGTGTGGAAACTATATTATATTGTGTGGAGACTACATTATATGTGTGGAGACCATATTATTTTCAGTGGAGACTACAATATACTGTGTGGAGACTACATTATATTCAGTGGAGAGTACAATATATTGTGTGGAGACTAAATATACTGTGTGGAGACTACATTATATTCAGTGGAGACTACAATATACTGTGTGGAGACTACATTATATTCAGTGGAGACTACAATATATCGTGTGGAGACTACACAATATTAAGAATTCTCTAGCTAAATGTACAACAAAGGCAGGACAGAAACTGATGATAGACATAACCATCAAACTTCACTCTAGAAAAAGACGATGATGCATTAATAGACAGCAGAGACAAGGCAATATTATCCAGTAATACTTACATATAGATGAGGTCCGCTTCCTTCCTGACCAGATCGTTCTTCTCATTGATTAGCGTGAACCACTCAATCATCAGGTTATCATCATCCTCATCCAGGCTGTTTACTACAAGAGGGAAAGAAAAAGTTAAAGCATGCATGAGTGCAACACGACACCCTATCATATACCTGTTGTATGTACAGCAGTAGTCATACAAGATGCTTACTTTATGTACAGATACAAGTGGACTTTTTATAAAAACCCTAAACGTGACAGAAAATACAATAACCATGCCACTGTCTTGTAACCTGTCAATATTGATGTTAAGGACGTCAAGAGTGTTAAGCACATGACATCACAGTGCAGATAAACATTGTGACACCATAATGAAAGCTTCAAGATGGCCACCCCACTTTTTACATGCACCAAAGAGGAGCAATGTTCTTTTATCCGTCTTTTTTTTTTAAAATCACTGAAGGGGTGAATCTATTTAGCGAATGAAGGGACCAGGGAGGGGATGCATGCCTGTCAGTCCAGCAAGAGTTTTTGTTGTGCACACAGGTTATAATTAACATCACACTTTTAGGTTTTAATTTGAAGCCATCTCTTACATTCTAGTAGCTATTTAACTTGTCTGATACCATGCAGCATACCATGTGTTCACTGGTTACTTTGATCACATATATTTTTAACTTGTCCTGCTCAAAACAGTGGTCGCTTTATGGTAAATAAATGTATGAGTGAATAGAAACAACTTTCTACAGTAAAAAAAAAAGGCTAAGTGCCATAAAAACCACGGCGGACATCTCCTCTCCTCATACCCTGGCCAAACCAAGATGTACTGCTCGTCTGAGAGACATAATTACTTCAATAAGCAAAATATAATAATCTTCTGCTTACTCCAACAGAAATATAAGTATTATCATTTTAAAAGAGGGAGTCGTCTTGGCGGTGGGGGCTAGACACCTGCCTGCGGATCGGAAGGTCGTGGGTTCAGGTCCTGACAAAGCCCGGACTTTTAAAAAAAATGACCTTGACTCCCAGGTCGACCCAGCTTTGAGGGGGTACCAGGTGCAGTCCTGGGAAGTAAAGGTGGCCAGCGTGATGCTGACCAAATCCTCCACCTAGTGGTCTATAAAATATAGGTCTAGCCCTATATACCCAATAAAGGCGTGGAAAAAGGTCCATTACTTTTTACATTACTTTTTTTTTTCTACAAAAGGCACAGCATCCTTCCTCTTCATCTCCCCTCACATTTTTTTCTCAGATATGGTAGGTTAAAATAAATAAAAGCACCTAACAATGCTAATAAATGTAGAATATTGTTAAAACCACTATAACTATTTACAGAATCTACTTCTTCAGGTTCACTGGCTGTAAACTCAGGCAGAAAGTTCTGGTTGTTCGTCCACTTCTGGACTATGGTCTTGTTCCCGAACTTGAGTTTTGGATGCCCATACATTTTACAGATCTGGCTTATCTGTATGCAAACTGCTGGTTCCTTGCCCCATCGTCAGATATATTCCGACTTTAAAAAAAAAAACATCCATAATTAGCCACCTCCTATAACATGCTTTTCAGGGGGCAGTGGGTCTACCCACCCCCACCCCAATGGGGCCCTGGAACCCACACTGGGAATTTACAGAACAATAAACATTTTATTTGTCTGTGAGAATTGTCACGTCAAAACTGACGTTTGAAATTCAAGCATATTAAAGGATCTAAAAAGATTATATCAAGAAAACAATCTTAAATAGTTGAAAGGACAAAAATTCGAACAGAAGAAAACACTGAGATTACATATCTAATATGTGTGACTTTCACAGTGACAAAAATGTATCTCATTTTCCTATCAGAGTCAAGCTTTAACAAAACTCTTGTTTAGAAGATGCTTCTACGGCAAATGACAAACACGTATGTGATTTCAGAAAGAAAAAACATGTGACATTTGATACATACACTGGTCTTATCATTCATTATAAACTAGAAGTAAATAAAAACCCCATGCAATTTGAAAAAAGTACAATGGATTTAATTCTGATAAAGAATTTTGTTGTTTCACAAGGACTATTCCAAAATCAACCTCCGATTGGTGGGAAAGGCAATAACAGTGTCCATGTTTATTTGTTTGCAATTTCTGAACCACTGAAAAAAATGTGACAGTGATTGACATGTGACTGACACTTTTACCAGCCAATTGGAGGTTGATTTTTGAATAGCCCTTGTTTATAAATTAGGAGGGGGGAAAAATGGCCTCCAGAGCTTGAGCCTTCAAAGGGAAGACAGGGTGCTCACCCTAACCGAAAAATTTAAATACATGAACAACAACCCCATGCACAGAATAGCAAAAAACCTAACCGAAAACTGACTGAAAAGACATAGCTTTCACAATCTATCAAAATTCTACTACACAAAAAAAAAAGTGACATCCTTTCTTAAGATTCTTCAACATGGGAAATGATCCCGGCATACAGCATAGACCTACAGCTTAACTATACAGTCACAACAACAATTCCAGGCACAGACAGAAAGGCTGAAGAATGTGACCTAGTACTGCATGCAAAGACCCTTTAACATGTCTACAACTGTTATCCAAACCCCAAATGAACACATGTATACACCGATGGATCATTAGAGGGAGCAGAAAAATATGGAGGAGCTGGAGCAGAGCAACAAGCAATTTTTGATTCAGCCAAAGTGCTTGACCAAAGAAAAATTAAAAACAGCAAAATTGTTTTCCTTTGTGACCACATGTCAGTCCTCCAGGCGACTCAGAGGGATCCAGGAGACAACATGAAAAGAGAACTGACTCATAAGCTAAACAGACTTGCAGAAAACAATCAGATCATTCTCCAGTGGATCCCGGCTCACTGCGGCCTACCAGGAAATAAGTTAGCGGACAGACTTGCTAATAATGGAACAAAGGAGAAACAATACACCCATCCTTTGTCTTTACAAAAATCAGAACACTTATCAAGAGAAAATACAAGGAATTGGGGAGAGAACAAACTAACAGTAAACATCCACAAGACCCCATCAGCAAACTCAACAGAAAGCAACATACAACAATTTTCCATCTACAAACAGGACACAGCAGGCTCAACTACCACATGCATAAAATAAAGATTGTACAGTCCCCACAGTATGCTTGTCAAACAGGACCACAAACACCTGAGCACATTCTGCAGACCTGCCCACTCTACACACAACTTCAAAAAGACACCTGGCCTGAGAGCAAAGTGTGCAGAGCAAACTATGGGAAACCATGAAGGGTCTGCTACTCACATGCGAGTTCATAGAGGCAACCCACCTGATGGTCTGATCTAAGCATATGAAACCGAATGCAAAGAAGAACAGAAAAAAAAAGTACAATGGTTTTTATTATGAGAAAGGGTTTTATTGTTTTGCAAGGACTATTCCAAAATCAACCTCTGATTGGTGGGAAAGGCAATAACAGTGTCCATGTTTATTTGTTCGCAATTCCTGAACCACTGAACAAATGTTACAGTGATTGACATGTGATTGACACTTTTACCAGACAATAGGAGGTTGATTTTTGAATAGCCCTTGTTTATACATTTTCAATATAATACTGTTAACCCATCAAAAACGTGAAAGGCAAGATGATTAAGTGTGTCAAGGTTTATTCCATAAAGTTCATCCTTGCCACAGAGCAACTATTCATCCAGAGCATTGGGCAAAGCATGAAACTCTTATGCCATCAACTACCCCCACCCAGGAATCATGGGAACAGCTGCACTCACAGACAAAATTACAGTCTAAAATTAACCCTGCAGCCTTCAGAGTGGATGACAAATGGTTTAACTTGTTCACCAGGGAGACTCCCAAAACTAATTAAAACAAGTAAACAGAAATGGCAATGGATGATTCATCCCTGTAAATATTAGGCAGTGAAAGTGTGGTGGTTATCAACTGTCCAGGACTCCATGCCTTGCAGATTTCAAACTGAGAAAGTATGTAACAAGCTCACCGATTCTTTCTATCCCTAACAATGCACCATATAAATCTATCTGGCTAATCATGTGATCAGTTCAACATGCATGTGTGCTTCTCTTGTTCAATCACAGCATTCCACATAAACCTAGCAACATAATTTGGCACTGTGACAAAGTCACCTGAGTGACTTTGTCACAGTTATAAGACTCATAACTGTGACAAAGTCACCTGAGTGTAATTTTGACAAATTTATCCTCAGCGTATTGTTGATGGCGGTTATTTGTCACTTCACAATATCTCAGGAATACATGTTAACTCCTAATCCAAATAGGTTAAAATGAAGTATTAAAATGTTCAATTTATCGTACTGCTTATTGATTTTTTATTTTTTTTTTGAACAGTTCATTTTTGACCCATGAAAAACACTACACTTCTAATTTGTTTGCTATAAATTTTTCATAGTTAAACTGCTGTGACAGTAGGGAACCTAAACAGTAAAGGCATATTTTACAACTTCTCCAATCTACCCCGTGAAATGTGCAAAATTTCATGAACAAAATGATGCATTTTACAAAGTCTGCTAAGAGATGCATGTTGATTTTAAATGTTTTGTTTAACCATTAATAAAGCAAGGCAAAGTCTGGTTGTCACATTAGGGCTTGGAGGTAAAATCGTCAAAGAACAAGCATGAACTGACACACAACCACAAAGCAGATTTATCACCTGAATGTTGTCTCTTTTATTGTCAACAGCAAATAAAATATTTCTGTTTCTTTTATTATGAACAGCAAAAATAAAATATTTCTTAACTTTTGATACTGCCAAAAGCAATACTGTGAGCTGAGCAATGGCAACAACAAAAAAAAAACAAAAAAAAGAAGAAGAATCTTTCAAATGAAAAAATACTAACTGCAGAGGCAATTCTCTTTTTTTTTTTTAAAATAAAAATTTATTCACGAGTAACTGTAACTTTCTATGTGGGTTCTGGAGCTCCAATATGGGGCAACTCTGTCCCCCAACAAGCATCTTAAGTGACTAATTAGGGTTGTTTGCTTAAGACTGCCACTAGATGGTGCATCACAGAGAGCCCTGTCATCTGGACATACTTAGAGGTCGACCACACAAGGAATGGATAGATGAAATATTCGAGGTTGTAAATATCAGCATCC